CCTACTTTTACCTCTGTTACAGTGAAGGTGCACAGAGTCTAGAGAAAAACTAGGGATGTGCACTTCTTTAGATTTAGAGCTTTTTGCAGTAAGTGAGCTATGTGCTTGGTGACGAGGTTTTTCACAGGTCTGACTTTGTCTGCCTTACTGATTTTAATATTTGTGTCTCTTTTTCACACAAGTTATGCAGCACATAGGACAATCAATGTAAAATTGATCTTAAAGTATCGATTATTCATGTTTCAAAGTTGAAACAGTAACGGTATCATTGAAAAGCGTGTTGACTTTACTAATTTCAGAGATTGATTGATTGAAACAAAATTTATCATGCCAAGAGCTTTAAGAGCTAAAAATGTTATTTCTTACGATTTTCGGCTATTTTCTGCAGTTTTTTGTGATTTACTCGAAATTTTGAGGGTGTACGGATCAAACGAACCTTGGATTCAGATTTAACGCATCAAAATACATATGAATCAACCTCGTCACATGTGTAGGAAATTTTTTTTAATGTCTGAAGAGCCAAAAATGTGATTTTTTACAATTTTCAGCTATTTTTTTGTAGTTTTTCGCAATTTACTCAAAATTTTGAGGGTGTACGGATCAAACAGACCTCAGATTCGGATTCAGCGCGTCAAAATACATAAAGATAAGTGGGTCTGGTCAGAAGTACAGTCCACTTTTTTTTTGTGTGCCGGTGTAATTATTAGAACAAGCAAATCTAATCTGAATCGAACCAAGGCGACGCAAGAGCAATATAGTCAAGCGTGGCAGTCTAAATGAACTTATTACATTCAGTGGCAAGCAAATGCCTGTACAATTTTTCTTTAAAAACATGGATCAGAAGGAGTTCAAGCGATAGCCTTTATCTTTGACAGCTTTATAAAGTCGGTTCTTAGTCTAATCCAGAGAGCCATTTACAGATCTTATTGCTCTCAATATATTGGAGAATTGGATTCAATGCAACAGCTTTAAGAATTTTAGCCAAGGTGCCCAATATGCTGATAGGCCTGAAATTATGCGCAGTCATAGCATTCATTTTCTTAGGTATTGACACAATGATGGCATGCTTCCACATGCTGGAAAAAACACCAGGTTGAAGTGAGACATTAAATAAATTTGTTGATACAGGAAATATGGTAGGAAGACAAAGCTTGACGTACATAAAGAACAACCCATCTGTTCTAGATGCACTAGAGGATGAAAATTTCAAGCACTGAGGATGTCAATGGACTCTATGTGTCTAAAATAAAAAACAGTCATCAGGAGAAATCAGGCGCAGGCTCATGTTCTTTAGGCTAGATAAAGTTCTTATTTAGCTAAGTACTTAGTAGCCAAGATAGGGAGTTAAGTAATGTTCTCGTCACGTCCGATAACTCCCAGCAATCTGGTAACATTCCATGATACAGGAGTTGGTTTACACTCATCGAATCTGTAACGGTGGTACTCATACATTGCCTTCTTGATATCAGCTTTTACCTCGTTACGCAGCCGTTTATACTCACTGTGGAGCTCTTCAGTTCTTTGGTGTCTGTAGTTACGCCAAGCCCGATTACGATCTCTAATAAGTCTTGAAATCATCTAAGAGCCACAAGGTAGGTTTGTTTTTTACCTTAATTGTCCGAAGAGGTGCATGCTGATCAAAAACTTTAGTCAACACACTTATTAGAACTTCTTAGGGGAGAGAGAGGGAGAGAGAGAGAGAGAGAGAGAGAGAGAGAGAGGGAGAGAGAGAGAAAGAGTGAGAGGGAGAGAGCGAGTGTGTGTGTATTATACAAAGAGTAATTGATTGGTCGTAGGTAAGGCGCGTGCCGTCGTCGTCACTGGTCGAGATTGTGTTGTGGGCATCGTTCACTACCTGAAGGTTCGCTGCGAATGGATATTTCTTATGTGGTGGCATACTCTAGCACGTATTACCAGACCCTGCGTGTAAGATAAGCTGTTACTAACGGCACAAAGCTTGTTGGAAGTTTCAACCACGGGCTGCCACCATAGGGACTCTCCTCCAGCGCTGTCCACAGAAATCAGGTCGAGCGATACATGTCTGTTGTTCGTAGATAGTGATGACAAGGCGTGGGTTGGGTGAGCAAAGAAACAGACGGGCATAGCAGAGTGGCAGGTAATAGAGACTGCTTTCTGGAGTAGGCCGTTGATGATGGTGGAATCGGTGGTTTGGCTGCTTGTCACCGTGTTGGCTGCAAGGTCAGTGAATTTGTGGGAAACGTTAGAGAACTCATCTCTAATCAAGGTAACACCAGGCGAAGGAAAAGTCGCGTAGCACATGGTCCATCGCTCACTAGAGTAATTGGTAAGTCTGAACAAAGTTGTCCGTCACCGCCGTCTCAAAAACTTACTGAAGCAAGTCATCAATAATTAGAATAGAATAGAATAAAATAGTAAAATTTATTAAAGCCATGAAGTAGTGCCACGTGTGACTCTCAATATAAGTACAAAGAAATAGTAATAACAATAATAGTAGTAAACATGATCAATTTTGGTACAATAATACACCAATGTAATGATAAAGTTCATGTAAGATAATATTAAATATTATAAATCATAATTAATTTAAATAAGGCAAAACTGAATTTTTACCAGTAAAACTTAAAGGATTATACATTTTATAGCGCATACTATAGCTAAACTTTAACAAAGGATAAAATAGAAAATAGTAAATATCGTGAATAAATTAAATAAAATGAGATGAGATTGCTAGTTTACCAGGGTTTTTCAATGTATTATAGCGTTGTTTAATTAATTTATTTTAATTTGTTTATTTTACTATAAAAACATTATTAATTCTATAGTGTAGAATCGTTTAGCCTCTATTTAAAAAGTATTTGTCTGTGGTATTTTACAATATAATAATTGCCAAGGACAAAAAATAATATGGCTAGGGATAAAAAAATCTATAAAAATAGGCAATGTTCACGATCTGACACCTAAGAAGACTGACAATGAACCACTGCACTTCACACTCAAATCTTTCCAATATCTATTAAGTAAAGAAGATACAATGGACGTTTTAAGGGCATTGTAATTTTCTGCATTTATATCATTCACATTAAGCGAAATTAAGAAAGTAATTAATTCGGGAATCAATGACTTTCGGTATATTTTCGTGCATGTCCAAGGAACAACGAGTGGGCGCAAAGAAAAACGAGCAAAACGTCTTAGAATATCTGGATTTTGAAGCTTGGCAAAGTGACTAGCAAGATAACTAGGGGAACGTTTTGTCACAATAGAGAGTGCTAAGGAGCGAAGTATACAATTTTAACTGCTAGAGACAGTAAGCCAGCACAAAGCCAAGCGATAAAAAATTACTGTCTTTTCATCCTATTGTAGCAAATACAAACCTTACTCAGGTATTTTGAGCTCTTGCAGTCGAAGATTAGAAGGCGCATGTATAGAATGATATATAGCAGCTATATAGCCGAAATGAGAAAATATAAAACTGTTAACCAGTCATCATCTAAGTGAAAAAGAGAGGGCTCAGTGACAAAACTAAAATAAGTAGAGGACCTTTAAAATCTGACTTGATGTAAAACGAGCATGTATTTCTTAATTCAAATTAAACCAAGGTTTCTTCATTCAGAGACGAAACTAGTTGCCAGCCCATTAACAAAAATTTTGGGTAAATTAGAAAGATCAAGTCGACAAATTTGATTTGCACTTTCAAAGACCATTGCCTTGGTTCTACTAACACTTAAGCGTAGGTGATCACTGCTACCCAGTGAGCCACCACATGAACATCTCGATTAAGATTCTGTATGGTAACAAGAAGATCTTCAGGGCGATATGTGAGGTATATTTAAAAGTCATCAGCATAACATATATAACGACTAAACTGCAGAACTTTATGGAGGTCGTTTATAAAGATCGAAAAAAAGCAGAATACCAAAGACGCTACCTTAATGCACTCCAGCCGTCGGTATCTGCCATTTAAATACCGCTTGGCCATCACGTAAGGTGGCATGCCTTCTACCCATTAAGTGGCTATCAAACCACTTGATCGTGTCATCATCACAGTTAAGGCTTTTAAGCTTTCGTAGCCGTAACGGATGCGAGATAGTATCGAATGTCTTGGATAGGTTGAAGGTGACAAATATCGCTAGTATACCAGTTTCTATAGCTCTACATATATTATCGAAGATCAAAAGAATCGCAGTCTGGGTGCTATGACAACAACGAAAGCCCACTTCATTTGGGCCAAGAAGTACGTTTTCTTTAAGATAGTTTGGTGGCTGGCCGCGAACCACTTTTTTAGCAATCATGAATAGCTCAGGGACCTTAGTTATAGGCTTAGTTCCTGCTAAAGAAGCCATGTTCCTAATTTTGGCTAGGGGTGTGACAAGTGATTTTTTTTAACTGGACAAGTGGCTTTGGAAATGGATTAATATATGCTGCTCGGTGCAAACCTATAAGCAATCTCATATTAAATATTGAACACAAGTATTTAAATTCACTTTTTTCATAAAAAACCGAATTAATTGTTCATTTGAGCTGATTCTTGAAAAATTATACACTCATGCAGCTAATTCTATAGTCATACAGTTTTCAATTCACTTTTGTTTTGGTCTTGGAGCATTCCAGTATTTGAATGAATTTAATATTACCAATAATATTTTTGTTAAAAAGTATGGTTCACAGGGAATGCGAGAAAATTTGTTAACTTAATTATAACCTCGCATAATAGTTTATACATTTTGTAACAAAAATTTCATTTTAAATTACTACAAGATTCTTATAAGCAACACGGTTTTTAAAAAAGAAGCTTAATTTAAAAAGGAAGTCTATATATAAGTATTAGTTAATTGAGAGTTGTAAGGTAAAACAGCCAAACGCTGAAATAACCTAGTTTAACCATCATACTTAACAAAAAGTTAATTATTAGAAGCTCTAACATACCACGAAATATCACGGCTTATACAAAAATAACATTATTTGTTATTTTTTGAAAACTAAAAAAAATCATTCATGATAAGCAAAAATTTTTTATATACCTTTTTCAATGATTCGCCTTGTAATACAATATCATTTGGAGGCATCCACACAACTTCTTCTCCAACTTTTTGTTTCGTGACAAAGAATGAGTTTTTATACAAATTATTTTCTGTTAAAGAGCTGGATGAACAATCTAGCAATCCTAAAAAAAAAAATTTTTAAGCAGTGCAGTAAACAAAATATTTTTTAATGTCATAGTTTTTATAAATATATTAATGAAATCTTTATTAAGTATATGTATGTTATTCACACGAACGTCGATTTATTATAAAATATGTGATTGATAATATCGAAAAAAAATAAAATTACTTATTATTTGAATTAATTTCTCGATAACTTCAATCTATAAACGTCCAGTACACCCTGTGATTGTTTTTGTACGTACATAGATCATTGGCTGTAATTCTTTTTTATAGTCCTTGCCAGGACAAAGCCCCGCAATAAAAATGTTAGTAAAGATTTCATATTCAAAAAATAAGGAAATTCTGAAGCGATATTATGAACAGACGCAAGTTAAGTAATATAAAAGTAAAATGCACAAACAATAAATACGATAAAGAAACGGCCCGAGTGAAGTCACGCATAATTAGTATATGTGGATGTAAAAACATTGTAAAAGTAAGTTTAAATGTTATAATGCTATTATAAGTATTTTCAAAAATGTAAAATATTGGGATAAAAAGACTATGCATACCTGTAGTAGGTCAGTAAACTGTTGTACAAGTACATATATAGCGTTTTCTCGCTAACCTGCTCAGCTAATCAGAGCAAAGCAGAGAATGCTGCACACTTTTTGCGACATTCAAAACGTTTACAATACAGTTACTACATACATAAAACACGTATCGTATCGTATAATGAATAATAAGTTGATTCAACCCAAAATTACCACTGCCCATAGTACTTCATTTTTTTAGTTTTGATGTACAGACCTACACAAATTAATTCTTGTCTTTACAAGGCTATAAGATGATATAAACACGAAAAGTAGAATAATAAGATTTACATGTTCGAAGTTAAAAATTAACTTACTAGAACTTAAAAGCTTCCAGGTATAATGTTTTTTTTTTCACACAATTTATAAGTGAGAAGCTGGTAATGAGATGTCTAATTATTTTTTTATTATATATTTAACATTATCTACGCATCAATATCTACATTTATACAACTTGTTATAGATAGTTTGAAATTGATGTTTCTAAACTGCTGCATTTTCAAATCACCAATACGTGTAAAAATATATATATTTTTTCCAACTAGAGACTAATTTTTATTATTTATTCTATTATTAATTTTATTAATTTTATAAACACCCTATAGCAATGCATTTTTGCAATGACGCGTCAGAATAACGGCGATAAAAATCAATATGTCCTGAAAATTTATCACAGATTAGTAGTCTGTGGTGGTGTCCAGTGGACGTCAAGGAATGAAAAGGAGTATTACGGATCTAAAAGCGTGATAGCATAGCATACATTTATTATACTACGTCAAAATCAAAGGAGCTATGAAGGGAAGTGATAAAGCACACAAAAAATATAATACTTTTCTGTTATTTTGTCAAGGGGCGTTAGTAGAGTGTAAGAGAGGGCAAACAAAAATATGTTGGAGCCATAAAGAAGCATAAGTTATCACACTTTTTCCGAGAAAACATAAAAAAATAAACATATTTTTACTTTTTTCGATATCTTCATTTGGTTGGAGTAAAAAATACGTTAGAACACGTAGGCAAAGGAATCCATCATTTTTACTCAACACAAATTAACACTACAATATAGCAGTATACTCAAAACTAAACGTACAGGTAGGAATTGGCCCTTTGCGCGTCAATTTTTTATAACCAGATCTTTCAATATTTAGTATTCAATAAGTCAAAAAATACTATTACACTAAACTATTTTAATACTATTGAAATATTTGTAAAACCCAATGCTATAAAAAGACAATTGAAATTTGTTATGTTTTTGTTTGCAATGAAAAGTATATAAAAGTGGATTAAAAAAAATTGAAAGTATAAAAAATCAACAAAAAAGTTAAAATGGATAAATATTGCACGATGTGATAGGATTTAAAGTATTTTCTTAAAATATTTTTCAAATCTTCTAGATTTTATTAAGTATTCAGTAAGTATACAAATTAATGCTGATTTGCTTACAAGAATTTATAATACACAACGTAAAAAACGAATAAATGAACAAAAAGTCAAATGGATGAAGCGGATTCAATTAAATTAATAAAATATTAAGAATGTAAGTGATTTCTTAAGGTTTAGTGCATAAGCACACGATCAGTAAGAGCTAATTTAGGAGTGAGAGTAAAAACTCCAAAGTCAGGTGTTAGTTTGAGCAACGTTTCGTTGGTCTTAACGCCAGCCTCATCAGGCTCACTTTATTAACAGAAAAAACACAACAAATTTTATAAATTACATTGCAGGGCCAATATTTACAAATATCTACAGTAATGCAAAATTAATTATAAGTAAGAAGTCACGAATAAAATAGTAATATAAACAATTTTAAAATTGATCAATTACTCACGTCTATATCGTTAAGACGATCATTACAGACTGTTGGGCGCCTCGAACGAATAACGTAAGTGTCAAACATGTATGTATTTACGCATATACGTATAAACAGTAAATGTACGCTTCTGACGAATATAAATAACAGCAGTACATAACTACATTGTATTATTTAGAAAGATTACTTATAAAATCTTTATATATGTTATTGAGAAGTAAGGTATCTTCTTTCTTATTAATAGTGTGTTTANGAACGCTTTACGTAAAACTAAAACAGACCGTTGGTAAGCTAGCGTTCACGTGGAGCAATGAACATATTTTCTCAATGCAACGAAAATTTTACGTTCATTTACGCTGACTATTAATATTCATAAGTAAAACTGTGAATCACTTAGTTATGAGTTTAACTTTACGACACCTGCAGTTGTATTAATCGTGTCTTTAATTTTTACAGATATTTGAAATTCTCAAAAAGTAATATCAATCTTCCAATATACTAACTTTTTATTGTCCACGTTTTAAGTTATCGTTTTCATGTTATTGACCAGATGTAGTTTTCCTAAAGATAAGGATTCAAATAAAGTTTTTTTATTTCACTACTTTCTTTTTGGGTACATTTAGGAGGTGCGGATGATTTTTATAATATCTTGTCAACTTTGAAGAAGCTCTCATTTAATTCATTTTGTACTCTGCTTAACTCTTCCTTGTAAAAAAAATCGTCAATGTCTTTGTCAGCCAAATCTCTGAGAAAATATACCGGAGGTTATCGCGTGCAAGACATACGTACAATTCTAAACAACTCTAAAGTCCAATCACTTTCGTAACGTTTGGTAAAGACACTTCTCCTACTCATACGAAGTAAGTCTCAAACGTTGTACTTTGGCTTTTATGTATATGTTTCTTATAACGTTGCTGTGTGTTTTCACGTGCTTGCGCAACATTGTGCAAAGTTCCGTCCACTGTCACCATCTTTGTCGACGTATGTATCGTGCGATTTTATGCCTCTATAATACTTGGAAGAATGTCTACGAAGCGTCGATTGTTTGTGTGTGTAAAGTATCGCCACATTCTTTCTTTAATAGTTCTTATGAAACGTTCAGATATTGTAGCCTTTGTCTGTGAGCTACGTGCTACTCTATATCCAATTCAATATTTTTGTAAAACGAAATTTTTAATACATTGTTGAACAAAAATTTTGTGTATTCTATGATTTCATGAAAAGGAATTTTTGATAATCTGTGGATTTGCATGTATCTTTTTTCCAAACTATTTATGACTGATTCTAACGAAATATTGGTAAATAGAGAAATAACATCCAAAGAAATAAAAATATGATTTTCCGGTATTTTAAGATTTTTGATTTGTTTTATAAGTTTAACGCTAGTATTCAAATGTGAAGAAGGTTTTTCAAATCCTTTAGAAAGAGAATTATAGAGAATTGAGGCGAGTGTGTGTGTAGGAGAATTAATGGATGAAATAATTGGTCTAAATGAAAGAGAAGGTTTATGTATTTTTGGCAACCCATAACATCTAGGTAAATTTGTATTGGTTTGCGTTAATTGATTGTTATGATGTTTAAAACTTAGAAATTCGTTGTCGTTCAGTTTCGTTAAAATTTTGTGGCCATCTGATTGTAAATTGCGTAATGGATTCTTCTTTATCATTATGTTAGTAGTGTTGTCATTTAACATCAACTCCATGCTCTGCACATATACGTTTCTGTCAAGGCAAACAGTCACATTTCCTTTATTTGAACGAGTTAAAATAATATTTTTGTTCTTTTAAAGGAACGCTTTTGTACATTTTCAATTGAAAACATTTGAATGTTCAACGTTGTCAGGTTTTAATTTTTTGTTATTATACATTTTCATGCCTTGTGTGATTTTTGTTCTTATTTTACTTTTTAATCCACTATTAAGATCGTTAATATTCCGCAAGCTATATCCTACCATCTTAATTGTTTGAATAATTTCACCATTTGACAAAGATTGTGTTTTTAACGCAAATTTTAGTCCTAAAACTACGCAATTTTTTACGTTTTCTGGTACATCAAGATCTGTTAAATTTCGGAACATTTTTTCTTTTTTGTTGTTATTCTTGTAGGGGTTCTGGTAGAGGTTCTTGGGAAAGACAAGATTGATAAGCTCGATAAAACCAATATTGTGTATCATTTTGCATGTGATTCTTGCTCTGCATCATATATAGGTGAAACAAAGAGAGCATTGAAAAAACGCCTGAATGAACATAAAAGTACCAAGAAAGATGAACTTGTTGTCTCTTTACACATGAAAAAATTCAACTATAATTTTAATTTTTCTCAAACAAAGATTCTAGACCGTGAACCTAATAGACAAAAAAGATTAATATCTGAAATGCTTTACACACACTTTACTTAACACACTATTAATAAGAAAGAAGATACCTTACTTCTCAATAACATATATAAAGATTTTATAAGTAATCTTTCTAAATAATACAATGTAGTTATGTACTGCTGTTATTTATATTCGTCAGAAGCGTACATTTACTGTTTATACGTATATGCGTAAATACATACATGTTTGACACTTACGTTATTCGTTCGAGGCGCCCAACAGTCTGTAATGATCGTCCTAACGATA